TAATCTACCCTTGCGGTTAAAGTACTATTTTATCTACTATTTTTGATAGATATAAGGCAATTCTAACAGTTGCTATGGAGAAAAAACAAAATGCTCAGGAGACATGGTTCTGACAGAAAAATAATGTTTTAGGAAAATTTTGCACAGGGTGTTTTTTAATTAGGGTAAAAAACACAATTCGATAAACCCGGTATAATAAAGCCCAATATTAAAGTTTATACAAAATTGAGTTTCAGAATTAAAGTATTATAGTTTAGAGAGAAGAGATATATTTATATACAGTCCACCAAAAAAAAACATGAAAATTGTGATAAAAATAAAAAAATAATAAAAAAATATGACGATATTTTTTTCATTCGAAAAATATATTCTTTTTAATTCAAAAATTCTTGAAAGGATCACGGTTCGAAATGTTTATACTTTTAAGGGCGGCATTTTGATCAAATTACGCAACTTTACCTCCATTTAACCACCTTCGTATCTATTTTACTTTCCAAGATCCCCATGATGAGGCTCAGCTTTGGGACACCCTGTACAAGTTAGATTCGCTTTAAAAATATTGTGATGATCACCCTGTAAGGTTGTAGTCAAAAAGTACAGCGGCTTTTTGATCAAATTACGCAACTTTACCTCCATTTAACCACCTTCGTATCTCTTTTACTTTCCGAGATCCCCATGATGAGGCTCAGCTTTGGGACACCCTGTACAAGTTAGATTCGCTTTAAAAATATTGTGATGATCACCCTGTAAGGTTGTAGTCAAAAAGTACAGCGGCATTTTGATCAAATTACGCAACTTTACCTCCATTTAACCACCTTCGTATCTCTTTTACTTTCCGAGATCCCCATGATGAGACTCAGCTTTGGGACACCCTGTACAAGTTAGATTAGCTTTAAAAATATTGTGATGATCACCCTGTAAGGTTGTAGTCAAAAAGTACAGCGGCATTTTGATCAAATTACGCAACTTTACCTCCATTTAACCACCTTTGTATCTCTTTTACTGTCCGAGATCCCCATGATGAGGCTCAGCTTTGGGACACCCTGTACAAGTTAGATTCGCTTTAAAAAATTGTGATGATCACCCTGTACGGTTGTAGTCAAAAAGTACAGCGGCATTTTGATCAAATTACGCAACTTTACCTCCATTTAACCACCTTCGTATCTCTTTTACTTTCCGAGATCCCCATGATGAGGCTCAGCTTTGGGACACCCTGTACAAGTTAGATTTGCTTTAAAAATATGGTGATGATCACCCTGTACGGTTGTAGTCAAAAAGTACAGCGGCATTTTGATCAAATTACGCAACTTTACCTCCATTTAACCACCTTCGTATCTCTTTTACTTTCCGAGATCCCCATGATGAGGCTCAGCTTTGGGACACCCTGTACAAGTTAGATTTGCTTTAAAAATATGGTGATGATCACCCTGTACGGTTGTAGTCAAAAAGTACAGCGGCATTTTGATCAAATTACGCAACTTTACCTCCATTTAACCACCTTCGTATCTCTTTTACTTTCCGAGATCCCCATGATGAGGCTCAGCTTTGGGACACACTGTACAAGTTAGATTTGCTTTAAAAATATGGTGATGATCACCCTGTAAGGTTGTAGTCAAAAAGTACAGCGGCATTTTGATCAAATTACGCAACTTTACCTCCATTTAACCACCTTCGTATCTCTTTTACTTTCCGAGATCCCCATGATGAGGCTCAGCTTTGGGACACCCTGTACAAGTTAGATTCGCTTTAAAAATATTGTGATGATCACCCTGTAAGGTTGTAGTCAAAAAGTACAGCGGCATTTTGATCAAATTACGCAACTTTACCTCCATTTAACCACCTTCGTATCTCTTTTACTTTCCGAGATCGATGAGGCTCAGCTTTGGGACACCCTGTACAAGTTAGATTCGCTGTAAAAAATTGTGATGATCACCCTGTAAGGTTGTAGTCAAAAAGTACTTCAGTTTGAATCCCCGTCAGATTTGCTAATAGATTTGCTTTTCAAATTGTCACCCTGAATCCTGAATATGCATTCGTTGCAACAGAGCATAAGAATTGGCCAAACAATGAATATCTTATACAAATCTGTATATCCATGTCTGTTTTGGTGTTTATTAGACCATTGCTTCTTCATGTCAAGCAACGTGAAAGAACGAGCGATGTCTTTGAAATCCGAATTTAGCAACAGTTTTTGTAACTCGCCCACCGCGCCGTTTATTTCTCCGCGCGGAGCGTTGATGGGCGACGTTGCCGTTGTGACATCATTTTACTTATTTGTAACTATAATTTTGTAGAGTTCACTTTTATTTTATTTTGCTAACAGAATGTTTGAACTTAATTCAGTTAAAGTAAAATAATATATTGTTAATTTGTATTTTTTAAGTTAATTGCTTAAATATTGCCGCAATTAAGGTTTAGAACCGGGAAATCCCTGATTACTTAATAAACTTGATTTAATTTTCATTAAAAAAAAACATTTTTTATCGATTTTTCTTTTAAAACTATTTACTTGCTGATTGACGAACTGCACCAGCACTGAACAATAATTAGCTAGTACCGAAAGTACCGAAAAAATTGGATATCGGGATATCCCATAAAGAAAAATTATATTGATAAGTATCTAAAAATATACGGAGTTAAATATATAGTAGACTTAAAATAGAATAGAGTCCCTGTATATAATAGCCTCTATGTCCAATTTGTTTAATAGTTCGTTCTTTCGTTATAATGTACTGTATTCTATTGCAGTAGTGTATTTGCATATTGATGGATTATATACATACATGATATTTATTATCAAATCTTTAAACTTTTAAACAACACATTATTCGGTTTGCTCATGCAGATAAAGGATCGGATGTCTCAGACAGCCGTTCATGATATCATTGGTATTATATGCATTTATGAAACAATTAAGATAAGAATTGCAGTGTAAGGCTGTTTGAGTTTATTGATAAATTATATATGAATAATATTTAGTCGGCACTTAATGGTAATGATTTAAAGAAGGCCAGAATCAAGTATAAATGTCAGTAATTTTAGAGAATTGCATTTTTTTATTACTTTCAGCTTAACCGGAAGTAGCTAAGTTTTTAGAGGACACCCTGTAGAAATAATAGAAAGTAATTTTTTTTCTATGATATATTACAAGTTATTCTCTCCAAAAAATCGTGTATGGGTATTTTTTTTTATTTTGTAGATTTTCTTGTAGTGGCGAAATACCTATACAGGATTTTTTTGGAGAGATGAATCCGCCACATAGGTATAGGCATTTATTACAAGTTAATATTTTTTTTTTGGTATATTATGGTGAAGTTTTAAGTTATTTATAGCAATCATGTGAAACCACCGATTTTTATTGAGTTGCCAAAATAAATAATTTGTAATAAAAACACTTTTTTTAATGAAAAAGGTTTCCAAAAATCCCAAGGTTTGGTATCATATTCTTCTGAAAAATACAATCTTGTTTTGCAATAGAAAAAGAGGATATATAGCATTTCAATTCGAGCACCTGTGTCCCGCAATTACGCATGCCGGTGGAGTGTCCTAGTCTAGGGATAATTGCGGAAATATTATTATTTTGTACATTTCGTTCTAGTGGCGAAAAACCCTGAATTCTTTTCAAGGAGTATTGGTATATTTTTTTCTCATTCTAGACAAAACTACACTTTTGCTGTAAAACAAACAATAAATTGTTCAATAAATAATAAAGATCCTGTCAGTTGTCTAGACGGTCTTCTGTCATAATTCAGTTCAAATTAAACGGACCTTTTTTCATCTACTACACACTAGGTTTGACTTGTTACGTCTTGATTGAACATGTAATACTAACGTTATATATACCGAGTGCGTCTCAAAAGTGGCTCACCCCTATAACTATTTTATTTTTTCAGTTAATAAACGAGATTTGGTATGTTAGTATACGACATAAATTAGGATTGATTGACGTATTCAATTGTTTTTGGTCGCTTCCTGTTTCACCTGAACTACAACTTTATTTTTAAATGGCACCCTAGGTATTTTTTTACTTTATTCGATAGAAAATAACACTCTGAATAGAACGACATATCATATGTCAACTTTTGACATTTTCACATACGGTTTATTTGAAATTATAACTTTCGGTTCGTAACGAAAATTTGACTCAAAGTACCAAGTGTGTGGTATCAAGTTATTTGTAAAATAATGCCTTTCCCAAATATGCTAATGAGCCACCCCCGTCCCATTTGAAAAAATTGAGATATGATTAAAAATACGATTTGGGCATTTTTTAACCGGCCAGGACAAGACACTAAAAACATTAGCCGATCAAATCTATTTTTCCAAGGCTCCGTGATTAAGAATTAGTGTTTTTAACATAGCCATGGCACTCTAGATTGAAATTTAAAATACTATTTTTTATTAAGCGAGAATGTCAAAAGTTGACATATGATATGTCATTCTATTCAGAATATTATTTTCTGTCGAATAAAGTAAAAAAATACCGAGAGAGCCATTTAAAAATCAAAAGTTGTAGTCATTTCCGGTGAAACGGGAAGTGACCAAAAACAATTGAGTACGTCAATCAATCCCAATTTATGTCATATACTAACATACCAAATCTCGTTTTTTATCTGAAAAAATAAAAAATGTATAAGGGTGAGCCACTTTTGAGACGCACCCGGTAGACTGAGCTTAACTCACTTAACATTATTTTCTACCTTCTTACATTTAGATTTCTTCGCAGATTTTATAAACATATTACTATGAAAATTGATTTTTCAACCTTTTTTAGAAATTCTCAATATCAGACATCATTTTGAGAGAAAAGAAACTACTACTAACCGTATGAAAATATTATTGTATAATTAAAAAAATGCCTATATTGTTAAGTTAGTAAGTTCCTGGTTCTATAAATTTCATAGACTGCGATAGACCCGACAACGCTGTTCGCATTATCGTAATCGTAGCCTCGTCGACCAGCGGCGTCCGCAACTCTGAGTCAGTTCGCCAACATCCGCCAGTCGGTGTTGATGTTTAGTATGCATTTCGTTACCGTTCAGCCCGCCTCTCTACATCTGTTACTCGGATCGTTCGTGATGTGAAAACGTATAATTTCCCGGATTTTCTACGTTTTGTTTGATTGAAACCATTCCAGAACAAGGTAAAACATTATTTCTGGACCTACTGAACGCATTTAGAGACGAGAAGTGGTAAACAAATCGGTTTGTTGATAGTGCGCGATAGTTGTGTTGTCGTTTTCTCTCAGAATTACAATTCGGTTGTGCAACACGTTGACATTAATTTTGACGAGGTACGCGGGTGACATATTCACACACTACACCGTAAATGGCTTTGGAAAGTGTTTTTTGGATTATTATTACCACGTATACGGAGTCGCCGGTGTGAATGTGGAATGAGGTTAGTAGAATCTCAAACGAGTTCTTTCGGGGTTTCGGTTTCGTTTTTTTTTAAATTATCATTATCACTGGATAATTTACATGTTGTCCTCGGATTAAATGTCAAACGACAGATGACACTGATTTTATTTTATAATTGATTTAATGAGAGATGAAATTTCAGAGTCCATTAAAAAACACACAATTCTTCTTCATAGAAATATGTCAACTTGCAGTAGCCCATAATGCATAACAATTGGTTTGTATTTATTGCAGTAACCTATTAATATCAGTGAATTAAAGTAAGAGTCTACAACGTACTGTTGAAGGAACCTAACTAATTAAACAACTTAGGTTGTCGGAAGGCAAGGCTAAGATATCGTATGATCGAAAAAAAAATCGGCACCAAAGACTAGCTGTGGAATGAGAATCGACGATCATTTTGACGAGGTCAATCTCTAGACGTCATTTACTAAAAATTGGCATAAAAGTTTTCAAAAATGAACACTCATTTTAGAAAGATTACAGACACAAATTTCCGAAAAAAATAAAGACTAGAACTTTATGAGAAATTATTTGTCGAGGGAGATCGTAATACACAAATATCTGGAGAATCCAATTCAATTGAATACTTAGCATCTGGCATTCCTGTAAACAACGTTTTACAGTAATTTAGACCGAAATTTCCACATATTTACATATACATTTTCCTAGTTTTAACCATTCTCTAAAAAAGTGTCAAATCTCGCAACGGAGTTCTTCCACTACAAAAAAGTTGTAAGATCTCATGTAAAACTCCTAGTGGATGACATACCAAGAATTTACAACTTTAAGAAACACCTCACTGTATTGACTAATAAAAAAAGATTAGAAGGAAGAAACGCTTACTCAGCATGTAAAAGGCTATACCATAACGTGGTATACTGATGCTTCCAAAACCAAAGCAGGGACAGGGATAGGAGTATTTGGGCCGAAAACTAAATACTCCGAACCAATAGGCACCTACACCAGTATTCTTCAGGCAGAAATTTACGCTATCGAAAGATGCGTACAATTCATCTTAAATAGGAACTATCGAAAACAGGAAATTGCCATCCTATCCGATAGTCAAGCAGCTCTAAACGCGATCACCTCAGTAACCATCAATTCGAAGTTCTAAGACACTTGAAAAAGTTCCTTACAACTTACGATCGAGAAAAATTAAAGGTTTTCCTTGATTTAAGTAAAAACAATCTTCGGATTGTCACGGAGTTTCTAACAGGACATTGTCTCCTCAACGAACATCTCAGTAGGCTGAAGCTGAGAAACAACGGCGAATGCAGATTCTGTGGGGAAAATGGGGAAACACCTTATCACTGAGTGCGCCGAAACGACGACCATTCGTGCCATGAACTTTGATACGGCTGATGTCGAGGATGGAGAGCTGGCCCCTGTGGCGCGGTCTCAGATGCTGGCTTTTGTTAAAGCCCTGAGACTGTATGATGAGTTATAACTCGTTATAACTCAAGAAAGGGGAACACATTATTTTTGGGATCTCTTTTTAAGCTCTGTTAATTACATCTCTTGAGGTGCTTATTTCAAAACATATCTTGTTTATCTATACCGAGGCGACTTGATTGACAGCATAAAAAACGCGAAAACCAGTTTTTTAATTCAGTCTGGCGCTGTGATTAGTAGAAATCATGTTGAAACATCCTGAATACTTACCTACGTGCGGCACGAAATTATATTTAATTAATTCGTCCTTGTTAGCGTGTCTGTAACAAATAATCCTATCAAAAAAATAAAATGTAAAATAATGCCATGTCCCGCAACTCAGTTTCTTCTACAAAAAGTTGTAAAATATCATGTAACCAAGTTAGTTATTTTAGATAGTGTCTATGTAAGCACCTATCTAGTCAATCATACGAGGTTATATTATGGTTTATATTTTGCATATGCGGTAGTAGAAAAATAAAACAGTAGATAAATTTTAAACCTCGTTTTAAACACTATTGCTTTTCGAAGTATACTTCATGAAGAGAAATGCATTTTTGCATCCGATGGAACCAATTCTGAAAGCAGTTATTCCACTCGCTTATTGGTACCTTCAAAATTGCGTTTTTGAAGGCGCTGTTTGCATTTGTGGGGACTGAAATATTCGACTACGCAGTTCATTTTTAATTTTTGAACAAAAGAAAGTAAAAACGAGAGTAAAAAAGTCGTTAGGACTTAGGTCGGGACTGAATGAAAGATGGTCTACCAATTTGGTATTTTCTTGCTATAAAAACTCAATAATTGTTTTTCGAGCTGTGTGAGAATTTGCATTGTCTTGTTGAGGTTCGGTTTTTCGAAACCCAGCAAATACTTCCGACAAACAAATAAATATGTACCAATCACCAGTACGCAATTTACGCAATCTTTATTTACGCAAATGATTGATTGCGTAAATGAAGCACAAGAAATGTTACAAAAATTGAATGCAACCTCAGAACATATGGGACTAAAAATCAATACCAAGACCAAAAACCCAAGTGATGACAAACCTCGTAATTGGTGGCGGAGCATATATTAACCAATATCAAATAGAAGAAACAACTGCTTACAAGTACTGGGGACATGAAATACGTATAAGACGCGGTAACCAAACTTGCTAGCTTAAGAGACGAATAGGACTGACTTGGGCCGCCTATGAACGATTGAAATATATTTTCAAAGGGACACTTCCGATATGTTTGAAGAGAAAAGTATTCAATAAATGCGTACTACCTGTTCTAACGTATGCGGAGACGCTAACATTAACCAAGAAAACTGTAAGCAAAATCAGAATAATGCAGAATAAGTACGAGACAGAACAAAAGTCATTGATGCCATAGAGAAAATAACTATACCTACTTTGAAATTGAGTTGGGCAGGGCATCACATAGCAAGGCTAAACGATGACCAATGGACGAAGAAAATGATAGAATGGAGACCAAGACACGAAGCATTCAGGAGTAGAGGCCGTCCTCCACCCATATGGCATGACAACTTAAGGCGTATCCACAGTAACTGGATGCAAATAGCTCAAGATAGGGAGTTATTAGATTAGATTAGATTCTTAGAGGTGGCTTTCGGCCTGATAGGGAGTTATGGAAGCAAACGAGTGAAGCCTACCTCCAGCAGTGGACTATAATGGCTGATTGATGATGATGAATCAGCAGTAACAGTTCTTTCATCTTACAGAGGAATTGTTGCTATAATCCGCTTTTGGGACAAATGTCGCCACCATCTTTTTGGACACATTTCGAGAACGGATAACTTTTATCGGTTTTGGTTCGGAACTCGCAACATCCAAACAGCCGATTGACGTTTATTTTCCGGTTACTAAGAGTGAATCCAGGATTCATCACCACTGAAAATACTGATGTATATATTTTTGAAGTTTCTTGCGTTAATCGGTGCGGTGTAGAGTTTTTTGACACCAATTGATTCTAATTGTGTTCTGTTCTTCCGTCATCAGATGCGACTTCCAATGAAAAGCTTCCAACTTATTTTTTTTTAAAGATAAATATTTAAATTTTTTTTTTAAATTAATGTCTTTGAAAAGCCCAATGATGCTTCCAACCAACTTAATTTTTTGATGACTTAACCAACTTAATTTATTAAAGATAAATATTTAAGATTTTTTTAAATTAAGGTCTTTGAAATGCCCAATGATTCTTCAATTTCACGATTATCTTTAAAAAACGACGTTTCTTTCGACGTTTTCCAGTGTGACTGCTGTTGTTGACAGACCTGTCTTGGATCTTTTATGGCACGAATGGTTGTCGTCTCGGCGCACTCAGTGATGAAGTGTTCTGGTGTTTCTCGAATCTCCCTACAGAATCGACATTCACCGTTGTTCCTTAGTTTCAATCTACTGAGGTCCTCGAGGAGATAGTGTCTTATTAAAAACTAGAGTTGCCAACCGTCCTCTATTCCAGAGGACAGTCCTCTTTTTGATCTCACTGTCCTCTTTTCTCACACGCATTGAAAAAGTCCTCTTTTTTTACATACCAAACTCAAAATCTAAAAAATATTCCTCTATCGCCACATTTAAAAAATTGTTAATCTGTGTCTTTCGTTACTCCTACTCGTTTGTACAGAAAAGAAAAAAGAAATATTTATATACAAGAAATATTAATGGAAGCGATAAACACTATTTTATGTTTATTTAATGTTAGCTTATATTTTGAAAAAAAAAAGTTTTGTTGAAAATTGTTTGTTTTATTTTAACAAGTTTGGAGTATAAATATTTTTAAGAAAGTAGGAAAAACAGCCTACCGTTGGGCGAGATTTTAAAAAATGTTTTGCCTGTGCCTCTCTTTTACTCTCTCGTCCTCTATTTTTTATTTTGAAAGTTGGCAACCCTATTAAAAACCCCGTGACAATCCGAAAATTTTAAAGTCTTGAGAAATTCTAGTCTTGGTGTTAGATGATATTAGATCTACTGTAACACCAAAGCACTGATCCAAAACTGGACACAATGGTTGGTAGATTTGCGTCCTTATGTTAGATATGAAATGAAGTTTGCAGATTTAAGACCAAGAAATGAAAAACCCTCTGTTTTGAACAGTTGCCGAAGTTTCGATGTATATTCTCGTCTTTTTTCGCTGGACAGCAATTTTTAGTTAGGAAAGGACGGCAATTTTTCAAAACAAAGATGTTTTCATTTTTTGGTCTTAAACCTGCAAACTTCATTTCATAACAGATACAATCTTAGGTTATCAAGGGAATGGATATCTATCTAAACGGCACCAAATTTTATGCAACGATTTAGCGTTTCTGTAATAAAATTTTATTAATCTCTGGTGCATTCTGGGCGATATAAACAGGTTGATTAGCTTTTGGTTTATAACAAACGCCCGTCAATCAAGCAAATCTTTTTTCTACCGCATAACTCAGTGGCTGCGAATGGTTCAGGTTATAAAATGCTCATCAAAGCAGCATCTAACGGTAAAAATAGCCATAACAATAAGATTCCTTTCACATTATCTATCAGGTTCACCGGTCAGGGTTTTG